AGTGTATCCTAAGATGGATGCTCGATTTGGAAGTTGCGTCAACACTACCTGTAATTGGTGGATAATTTTTCAGAATAAGTCTACGATATTGTTTTTCGTGAGGTAGATAGATAAAAATAGCATAACATATAACTCTTTATGATTAATAAATATATAAATATATCTAAAAAAGAAAAAATTTCAAATAGAAAAATAATAATTATCAATATTTTTTTCGATATAATGATATTGATTATAATGAGAAAAATAATTTAAAAAGGAACTAAAAAATTAAACAAAGCTTAATAAATTATTTTCTAATTCGCTAAAATTCTAAATGCGCAATGTTATTGGTTATTTCTATTTCTTTGGTTTGATGGAATTCCGTGGGGTTTGGCGGTTTCGACGGGCCATCCGATGTGGAAAAACGGACAACGAGTGGCAACGTGAATGGCCGACCCGCTAGAGCCGACTGCTTCGTCATCGTCTGCCTCCGTGCGCTGCGCACGTTGCACCAAGGAGTTAGTGCGCTGAGACACTTCACAAGAGCTGGGACAGCAAGATGTGCCATGACTAGCGCCAGCCGAATAAATTGTGGTAAGTTACACCCTTGTCTGGTGTATGCCTGGACGGATGCGATGGATGGAGAGCTGGAGAAGAGTGTCTGCGGTGTTTGTTGAAAGCTGACACTGCGGCCACATCGATCTTTTTTCGCGGGGAAATCGTGACTGTGGAGGAGCCACACCGGAGCCTGCCGTGTGTGAAAATTGACATGCGCAGCTGCTCTACCATCGATTCGCTGCATCCAAGTAGCCCTTGAAAACCAAATATCATCACCCCTATGCACTTGATAGATAGAGCGCCACCACTATGCAACCACTTTTTGGTCACTTGCCACCACTCGAGTCTGCTCTTCCAGTACTTAGCACGTTTGCCATACCGAGATCGTGTAATTTACCTCCCAAACACGACCAAACCAGCAAGGGGCATTCATAATAAAGGACGTGCTAGGCTGCAAACGTTCCGAGTCTACGCTTGGCACTTGCAGCATACTCTTCCAGGCGAGAAAGGAGTTTGCAAGGGTTGTAGTACAGGTCCATGCGACTTTCTTGACTGTTGTACTGGCCAAACCCGTCTTGCTCTAGCACTTGGCCATCGCCCAGCTGACCGTCGAAGCGGCCAGTGAAGTAGCCTTCCGCTCTCCACCGAAACGACGTCGTCGTAGAGTTGGTCGAGAAGACGTCGACAACAGTCCACGTCCACCCGAAGGGGCTCGCTTCTACGAGAACAGCTCGATGTGGCACGTGGTCAACTTGAGTTTCATTCACCCTCCACGTCATGTTAACGCCATCATTCGCCAATTCGTCCGACTGCCATTTGGTATGGAGGAGCAGTTGTAAATGTCGCTGCACCTCGGTGCCATCAATGTCAATGGAATGCACCGCAGAGGCCGTCAAGAAGGTGTCCAGGCACTTGTGACATGCCCTTGCATCCATGAGCGCGTGTGTGATTGACGCACGAGCTGCAGTAGACGAGGCCGCCGGCGTCTGTTGATGCGATGGCTGCGGAGACATGCCCGCAGGGACGCCACGGCTGATCGATCCACTGCTGGTCCCTGATACTTGAATCCCCGGGAGAGCCATGAAGTAAGCTCTCCACGACTGGAACAGCCGCGCTGACTGTATTGCAAACAGCGCGGTGGACGTGGCTAGGGAGGAGGCTTTCCGTGTGTGCGACTGGATTTCGAGGACATACGGCAGCTTCGATGGTCCGTGGTACGTGTGGCAATGCACGCGATCCAACGACAAACTCGACACCAGCGTTCCATTGACTGTGCCTTCCGTCTTGTAAACGTGCAATTGTGGAGCGCCAGGACCTTGTTGTTTGACCACACAGAACCTTGGTTGCCACACTGCGGAGAACAGAAGACCTGGCACGCGCTGCTGCAACCATCC